TTTCCAAATTTGAAAAAAAACGAGAATATTCAAAAAATAGCTTCTACTAATAATGACGAACAACAACTTCATCCGATTCAAAAAGTAGCTTCTACTAATAATTTACATCAATATCAACATCATCATCATTAACAACAAAAACAAATTATTTACTCTTTCTCTAATACCAATAACAAAAACAAATCGTTTATTCAACCGAGAGGTGGTTTTCTCTAATACTGACAACCATCAACATCAAGATTATTCGAAACAGGAAGGGAACAACTTTGAACATCTCTAATGTATCACACAAATAGCCTAATATCCTAAATTAACAATTAAATAAAAATACGTGCATAGAATAGAATCATAGCCTGTATTTCGTTTCCGGTAAAAAAAAAATTCTGTGAATTTTTTATTTTCATAACAAAACAAAATGGTTAAACATTTAACTAATTATCAAGATTATTTATCAAAATCAATATTAATAATATTTTTCAATTTTATATTTTTCAAATTTTTGGTATCTGGTCAATTATCGAATATAGCATTTCAAAGTTCAATCATAATAAACGATAAACTCTATTTTTTTGGAGGTGCCTTTTATCATAATATCCCCTTTAATCCTTTTAATTACATAAATCAAACAATCTATTTAGACTTTTCCGCGCCATTCACGCTCAGTCAGCAACTACCACTAAAATTACTCACTCCAACGTCAACAATACCTCCATTTGGTGATGCATCACTAGCATTAGGAGGAACTAACAATAGCACACTCTATCTTATAAGTGGTAGCAGAAATGAAACTTATAGTAGTGTAGGTTATGGATCTTTAGTTTATTCAACAAATACAAGTTTATTTGATACATGGACTCCGGAAGTCCTTGATGGACAATCACCACTGGTTAATGTTAACAGTACAATATATACACAAGATAATAATGGAAATACCTATATAACAGTCGGTAATGGTTATGATATTCCTAATAATATATATAAATTCGATACCAATAACTTGACATTTTTATCATTAAACCCAATAAATGCTGGTCCAAATATATCTGTATCTGATTTCAGCTGTCATTTATTGCATGATAGAGAAACTATTGTTTATATTGGACGCAATCTGATTCAGGTATTATCGTGATTTAGTTATTATTGTTGTTGATAATATTAATGAGAATGTTACATATAATTTTTAACAATATATAAATTTAGCTAAATACATACGATATCAAAAGAAATTATTGGTCTAAAGTTGTAAGTTTCGTTATTATTTTTCATAATTACACTTTTAATATTAATAAATCTTGTTATATATTAGATTACAGCTGGGGACAAACCTTCTGAACGATATTTCCATTCTTCAGTATTAGGTGAAATTCAATTACTGCCAGCATTGTCATTATTGATATAATTATTTTTCTAAATGCATATGATTGCTTTTATTTTTTAGTACCTGATGGAAGAATAATCGTTTATGGTGGCATTTCTGATACTGGCACTATTATAGCAGACAAATTGATAACATTAAATACAACATCAGATCCTTTTCAATGGACAATTTCAAAAAATATTGTTTATCCAGTTAAAAAAGATCATTGGGGTCATACTTCAAATTTGTATGGAAATTATATGATAACTGCATTCGGTAATTAATTATAACTTTAATATATCCATACACATTTATATATATTAAATATTTATTAACTATATTCATTGATTAATTGATATTAGGTGCTTTTTATTTTGATCAAGGTGGTGAAGGCACTTATCCAAATATTTCAATATTAGATATTAGCGACAAAGATAATTACAAATTGTTGGACGCATATGTTCCTCCTCCACCAACTCCAACAACCATCATTAGTACGACTACTGTTACAAGCAGTCCTAGTCAATCACCACCCGAAAATCCCAGTGGTCCAAATAATAAAGTGGCTGTAATAATTGGATCAGTCACAGCAATAGTGTTTACCATCATTTTGATTGCCATGCTTATTTTATTTGTAAAAAGATATAAAAAAAGGAAACATATTGTTAATAATGAGGTTATTGATGAAGACAGCAAAAGTATTGTTAATAATGAGGTTGTAGACGTTAACACTAGCAATGTTGAAATTATTACAGTTAATGTTAATAGTGATAGTAATATTGAAGCTGCACCTTGACAGAATTATCTCAATACGAGAAATATTTTCATAATTTTAAATGGATAAATTAAGATTAATGTTAATATTAATAAATGTAAAATAATTAATAACTGATAATCGATAATCACACTGGTAGATTAATTTACTTTTACAATAATTAGTATTGTATGTATTGTATGCATACTCCCCGTATATCCTGTGTAACCGATTTGTAGAGAACTATTTACTAATGATTGATCGAATTGATAGTGATTTCTACATTTGGACATTGTTTATTACATATACCCACTGGATAGCCTAGAGAAATTGATGCATTCACTTGGCAAATCCGATATATTCATCATTATCATCATTAAAAACAATTCCTGGTAAAACTACTATCTCTTTAGTCCTTCCATGCATTTTATATTTTTTCACTAGATGCTCTACTACTTGGATATGATTAATCGGATTATCTGAAGAATTTAAAAACAGAATATTCGCGTGTGTTACGAATTTACTTGTATGTATTAATTAGTCGAAAGTACTACTAATGCTCGCATCAAATTTGACAGATTTATTCCAGAAAAAAATTAGGAAGTTATTAGAAAAATCTCACGTTTATCAACTAAATCATCGCAATTGGAATTAATTATTCTTTTTTAGTCATTACGACCGACTGATGTCTCCTGCCACATCATATTATTATTTTTTCTTTAATGCTTATAAAAAAATTTTCTATCTTCTCAACCACTTATTAAGTTTATAAAGGTAATCAATATCAGTTTTAATAACTATAGTTTTATATAGAGAACCTCTATCAATATGAATATCAAAAATATATTTTAAAAAAGATTGGTTACACGTATCGGAATTTCTATTATTTATAATATTATAATATTAATATTAGTGATATGTTTAATGCCGATCGAAATCGAAAACGAGCAAATTTTTGCCCTTACAGCAGAACACCAATCATTATTATTTACATTGTTTAAAATTTGGATTTATTATGTGGAGATATCTTATTATATATTGTATGTCCCAATAATTTGGTAAATAGTTAGTTGATGAGTTAAAAAAAATAAAAAAATACTAAAAGCTTATAGAAACTTCTATGTTTAAAATGATTTTAAAATAATATTTTTTTTTCACATGGAACACAAATAGGTTACATCTTAATTACATCATCTGAAGTTTATTTCCTGAAGTTCTAGAAACTCATATTTAAGATTAGACTCATTAATTAATTAATTAAACTAATATTATACAATGAATTTATTTTTAAGGAAAATATTCGGACAATGTAATTAACGCAATTGACAACAATCGGACAATTAAATTAATAATAAATTTAACAGTTAATTAAATAATTAAATTTAATAATTATTTTTGGGTCTTTTATTGAAGGTTTCTTCTGTGTATTATAGAATTATTCTTGGGCACATAAAAATTCAGGGAAAAAATATACTTTTAAAAACCTGATTATCAACTTGTTTGGTTGGGTACCAATTATATTTATGATAAAGTGATGCGACATATATTGTATGTGTGATATTCATTAAACTAAAAGAAGCATCGGGTGGTTTTTTCTTGAATAGGTTCTTGAAGTTTCTTATCATGCATGCATGATAGTTGTTTTAATTTGGTCATATTCGGTAGTGTGTTTGTTAGCTAGGATTATGTATGTATAATGAATATTGTATAGATGATTCGATGTTAATGCAGTTCTCCCAAGAATTAATTAATTAAAATTTGAATAATAACAACAACAACAATAATGTGAATTTGCATAAATGAAACCTTAATTATGTAGTAGATCGATTAGATGATTATGGTCCGTGTTAGAGAACTATTTTTTTTTTGATAATTGATAATGGCTGATCGTTGATCGACTATGTTAATGATATGTTTACGGAGATAGATAATGAATCAAATCAAATGAATGACTGTTGGTGCTAAATTTATGTTAAATCGTCAAATCTATTCTAAATCATCCCGGCGAATCATATACCAAGTCTATGCCAAATTGTTTGTTGATTTTATATTTTCGTTTTTTTTTTTTTTAATATTTTAATATTTTCCAATATTTGTCTTTGATGTTTTTATCAGATATGCAATGAATCAATAATAAAATAATGAATGAATTTTAAAATATGCCTTAATGGAACGGGAACTCTAACAACTGGTTAATCAATCAATAATTGACATAATGTAATTAATTAATTACATAATAAATAAAAACATATAACATAATAATTATTGATTATTATTGTGATAAAATTAATTTCTATAACATAAATATCATATTATAGATGTCGAGTTTAGTAAAGTCTCATTTTGATGAATTCGTATTTAAATATTTTCAAAAAATCCTTTTTTCCTTTTTCTTTTATTTTCTTTTTATTTTTTCTTTTTTAAACGCTTTTTTTTTACAAGGTAAATTTTCCTTCATTAATTATTATTAATTATTTAAACCAACATTTATTATTAAAAAATAGCAAAACTATGTGTTGCATTCATCCTATTTGACAAAAGTGGATATGAATCTCTATCTTGTCACGTGACATTTCATATACTTTATCGTATTTGGAAATTTTTCTTTTATTAAACCGATTTATATGCAGTTTTATACCAATAATACAATGAAATTTTCGTTTGGAAATGTCAAAAAATAAGAATATACGTGAAAAATACAAAATTCAAATTTTATATATATGTCGAAATCGATTGATTGATTTATTTTATTTTATTTATTTACGGACAAAAAAAAATTATAAATATTAATCTATTTATTATTATTATTGTTATTTAACATTAAACATAATAGGAAATAAATTTTCATATATACGGTTAGTTTTATTTATTCAATCTTCTTTACACATTATGACTACCAACTATACTTTTGTAAGTCACGTTACACCAATATCACCAACATCACCTAATCCTTCTCACAATTCATTACATCCAAGTCAAATAGGTATAACTATAATAAATATATGTGTATATATATATGTGTATATGATATGATATGTGTATATATATATGTATATGATATGATATGTGTGTATATATATGTGACGTTTTTTAATTGTTTTATTTCTATTTTTACTAGAACAAATTTATAATCAAATCCTAATTTATAATGCGTTGGATGGTTTGGTCAGTTCGATGACTATCATAGAACCTTCTATTGTTCCAAGTAACGACACCAGCATGTCACCACGTAAGAGAAGAAGAAGAAGCAAAAACGACGATAACAGAATTGAGTTGAACAGATCTGAAATTTCAGAAATTTTGAGCAACATAAACATCAATATTCACGGTGACTTTGATTCCGTGTTGGCTGATTGGAGAGCGTGTGACTATAAAGCTGGTCGTAGAGTTGTGCAATTCCGTCGGTGTGTCTATCAACAAGACGTGGATGTCTTCTTTGAAGTCGTGAGTCAAAACCAACGTAACAGAAATGGAATCTTTGTGTCGTGTGTTTGGTGCGAGGAACTAAAAGAGTTTTATGTGACGTCGGTTGATTGTATCTACTTGATCGAATGTGTGACGGGTATCAAGTTCACTCAAGAAGAGAAAAATAGAGTCAGAAGGAATTTGGAAATCTTCAAACCGATAACAGTTGGCAAAAACAAAAAAGGCGATAATCTATACAGGAAATTAATGAGATTTGACAATCCAAAGCCAAGAAACATCAAAAAAGATGTCAAAGTGTTCGCTTGGTCATCTTTAAAAATGGCAGTAGAAAAAATAATAAAAAAATATTCTGCAATTTAAAAATAATTTTTTTATTATAAATTTTTTAATTTATTATTATTATTAATTAATATTAATTATTATTATCTTTATTATCTAATATTTTTCTTTAATATTTATTACTATTACTATTATTATTACTTACCATCATCATCACTATTATTATTATTATTATTATTATTATTATTATTATTATTATTATTATTATTATTATTACTTACCATCATCATTATTATAATTTGTTATTACTGCTATTATTATCAAATAAAATAAAAAATTTATCGTGACGTCTATCATAACGTGACTGCAACAGCATAATTTTTTACGCGATTAATAGTAAAAGGCAATTATGAAATCATATATATTTTTTGTTTTTTTTTTATTTAAAAAATGAATGTATATATATTTAAAAAATAAGTTTTGAAAATAGAAATAAAAACATTTGCAAGAAAATAAAAATATAATGTTATATAATGATTATGATTATTATTATGAAAATCAAAAAAATTATTTACAAAAAAAAAAAAAAATATAAATTCTAAAAAATAATAATAATCATTAATACATAAAAAGATTTTTTTTTTTTTTGTTTTTATTTAGATGAGGGTTTTTGTCTAATGACTATGATTTGGTATCAACGCTAGTGTGTTGTTGTTGGCAATGATTATGAAAATTATGGTGGTGAAAATTAATTTTTTTGAATCCTCCACGAAAACAATATATAACAGTTCATTCATTTCATTAGTCAGTCAAAAATATATAATAATACACTCTAATTTTGAGGAATTTTTAAAAAGTAAAAGAAAAAAAAAGGAAGAATTGGATTTATAAATGATAATAGTAACAGTATATATATATATATATATATATATATATATTAATAAAAACGAATTGAATAAAACGAAGGGAGAAAAAGGTGTATAATCCTTTCTTCCTTGATTTATCTATCATTAAGACGCGTATATATATTTGTTCTTCTTATATATGATATGTGGTCTAAATGTTGCCAAATAGTACCACTGATAAATATTCAGCAAGCTGCCATTTAGAAGGTGGCTTAAATTTATCCATTATATATTGTTGTAAGCAAAAGAAATTAAGTTGATCTTGAATGAGACTTGTCCATCTTAAATACACTGGTTCTGGAGATGCAAATATTTCACTATTCCTATTACTATTTATGATATCATTACTATTGACACTAGTAGCACTGCTACTGCTACTGATACTACGGCTACTGATACTACTGCTACTACTGCTACTATTACCATTATTATTATTATCACCGCCACTACTGCTATTATTGTCTGTAATATTATTTGTGGTGGTGGTGGTAGAAGTGTCTGTAATATTGTTGTCCGTGATGTCAATGATATTGTTACTTGTAATTTTGTGATATGTAATTTCATTGTCTGTGGTGGTGGTAACGTCTGTAATATTATTATCAGTAATATTATATTTAATTTTATTTTCTGTAATTTTATGGGTGAAGGTGTCAGCAGTGTCTATTGTATTATCAACACTACTACTACTGCTGCTGCTACTGCTGCTGCTGCTGCTACTGCTACTGCTGCTAATAGCACTATCGTTATCATTATTATCAATAACATCTATACTATCATTTCTAGCACTATTTGTGCCATCATTATCATCGTTATTATCAATAATATCGTCACCATCATCATCATCATTGTCATCATCATCATCATCAAAATTATTGCTATTATTACTAGAAGACGAAGTTTTTATGGTGGAAACAGCCGCTATATCAGTTCTTAATTTTCTAGTAAAATCTTCAAACGCTATTGCTTCAAATTCTTGATCAGCTTGAACGGTTGACACCATTATTGAATCGATTCCTCGATCCATCTGGCCACGATAAAACTGTACCCAACCCAAATCCTCAAGATACTGCTCGACATCATCTGCCACTTTTTGTAATTTGTCCCAATCATGACTATAATAATAATTGACGGCCAACATGTTATGTAGAAATAAACTAAATCTTTCCACTATGTGTAAAACTCGTTTTTGACGACGTAAAGCTCTTTTTGGACCTGGTGGATCTGCTGACAAACCTGGTGGTTCGAGTGGAGCATTGATGGTAATAAGACTTTTTGCATACTCTGTCTCCAATGGGAATTTCCATTCATTTGCAACTTTCAAAAGATCTTCTGCTGGTATATCACGACTATATCTCTTAAACCATAGATGCGCAGTGATCGTATGTGGTCCTGATAAAGCTTTAAATAAACGATTTACCGATGATAAGTGGCGTAGATCTTTAGCATTATCAACAGAAAAAATTATTAAATATAAAATCTCTATTGGTAAATCTGTTAATTTTAACGGCATATGATGATGTTGAAGTTGTTGATGTTGTTGATGATGATGGTGTTGTTGTTGTTGTTGTTGTTGTTGAATTAGTTGGGCCATCTTTTTTTCTAAAAAAATACAAAATTATATGATGACCCTTGATATATTTATTAATTTGTTATACTATAAAAAAAAATAGTAGACTTTGAATCCCTCAAATAAGTAAAGTTGGATGTATATTTTCGTTTCGTTATAAAATATAATCTTTGTTCTGTATAGATGGACAATCTCAAAAAAATTAAGTGTTGTTTGTGATATGTTTAGGTAGTTAGTTATTTTAATGGAATATAAAAAAAAGAAGGTAGAGGATTAAGAAAAATATATTTAAATATTTTAATATAAATATATTTGTTTGTATTAGAGATGAATTTGGTAGATTGATGATGATAGTATGACTTATAAAGGGAGGAAAAAATTAAATGACTTTGAAAAAAAAAATAATAATAAAAATAAATATTTATATATACTAATACAAATATATACATATCTAAAAAAAGTAGTTGATCGGCAAAATAGATAAATTATAAAAAGTGTTCCTTTAATCCCCATCTTGAAAATATGTAAAGTTTGGTCATCGGTTTAGAATTGATACAAACATAAGCAAGAAAAATATTTATTCTACATAATATGTCATGAAACGGAATTAGAAAATGATTCTTTCCTATCAACAGAGCTAATTATCTAACTAAACACAAAGTCAAGTGCAGGTTGTGTGCACCACACCAATTATCGTTCTTCTTGAGAAATGTTGAAACATGTGTAAAACCACCTCTTAAAATAGTTTTGTGCTCATGTGATAATAAAGACACATGGTTTAATTTGCACGAATCATTATGATGACATCGTTAAAAAAAGAACTTTCGTGTGTCATATTGAAATTTTTTATTTTTAAAAAAAATGACAAACAAACGTATATGTAAAATTTATAAATGTTGACACACCATAAAGATGGCGAAGAGGAGGAAGGAAGCTTTGATTGTGGCAATGATTATGATGATAGTATATTAAATGAAACTTCAATATACAGTACCTTAGCAAAAGGTTCGGTCACCCTAAATACATCATTTACACAAAAACTACATAATAATTGTACAAAAAAATTATATCAACTTGTGGCATATGTTTTGGAGATCCTGCATATAAAGTTCATATTTATAAATTTTCCAGAACTTAAACAGTAAAAAATAAAAAAAGTTGATCATTTTTGAAAAAATAAAAATTCGCGATAAGTTTTTTTAATCATTTCTCTAAAGCTTACATGATAACATTTTTACATCTGATAAATTAAGATCATCTGATTTTCAGGAAAAAAATTTTTTACATGATTTTGAATACTTTTTTTTTAACGAATGATTAAAGATTTTGGTAAATTTTAAAAATGAATTTAAATCAAGTTTAACGACAAATTATTGGTCTCTATAAAGGTGGAAATTCAAAAGTCAAAATTAGCAAAATTCTTGGTTTTTCTGGAAGGATGGCCAAGTCAATCTCCTGGCCTAAATCCAATCGAACATTTGTGGAATGAACTAGAGACTCGTTTTCGAAAAAAACCTAGCCAGCAAAAAACTTAAAGGAATTAGAGGCACTTTTAATTGAAGAATGGGATAAAATTCCAGAAGATGTGTACATGAAATTAATCGAAAGTATACCTCGTAGAATTGAGGCATGTATTGCAAGTAATGGATGGCCCACGAAATGTTAAATTAACAAGAGGTTTAGATCTGTTTAAAATTTACGCGTTAATAAAATTGATCCTCAAAATTAATTTTATTTTCTCTGGAAAATCTAGAAATATGAAATTTTATATGCAGGATCTCAAGAACATATGCCACAAGTTGATATAATTTTTTTTATACAATTATTATGTATGTTTTTGTGTAAATAATGTATTTAGGGTGACCGAAACTTTTGCTAAGGTAGTGTATATATACACGTTTATTTATTAACAAAATTTTCATCTCTATTATTCCTACATCGCCACAACAAAACACTACTACTATTACCACCCTCGCCAATGATAACAATAATAACTTATTATTTAAAAAATTTAATTTGTTTATATATTATGTATGTGGTTCGCGTGGTCTAGAGACTCCTGTTGCTGCGCTACGCGAACAAAGTTTCACATACACGTGATCTTAATAAAGAAATTTGTGATTCGTGCAACAACAATATTTAAATAATGTTACTGCTGAATAATCGTAGGTAGGGAGAATGGAAATGGGTTGACAGCAATTCTTTCTAAACGTTCATATTTCACCACCAAAGAAATGGTCAATTTAGAGATCTCTGAGACCATGTTGTTGTTTATTATCCATAAAGTACTAAATAAAAGTATTAAAATTTAAACAATATTTTTTGCCTTTGAAGTAAAAAAATATCATTTTTAATGAAAGATATTGTCTCCACAAATGATTTTACCTAAAAATAAACATGATTTCTACAAACGGGCACTTTAATTATTGTAAAAATACAAGTTGTTGTTTTTTTTATCCTAAATGATGTCCTTTAAATATAAAAAATACATATTGAGGATGAAAAGTGTTTAAGTCACAAGGAAGCAACAAGATTGGCCAAACTTTCTAATAGGATATTTTATTTAAATGATTGGCCTAAAAAATAATTACAAAAATAAGCCACTTTTGATTAAGTGAAAAAACATCAGATTAATTAATTAATATTACAGAAAGATTTATTTATTATTGTTAATTTAATTCACTTGTAAAAATAATTTCACACATAATAATAAATAAATAAATTCTTTGTTTCGCTTATAAAACATTTTTGTAGTTGGAAATTAAACAGTAGGGTTTAATTGGTTATCAGAGTGGTATAGAACTTTGAGGTTTTGTTTATTCGCTTTGGTATAAAGCAAAGATTTTGATGTTGGTTAACCAATGTAGTGTTAACAGTAGGTTGTATAGAAACTTTTCAGTTTCTTTGATTTCAAATAGCATTTTTATTCTGTATTGTGATATTTCCAATACTTAATTTTGTCACCAATAATTAGTTTCATCGTCCATAATTAATTCTCTCTCTCTCTCTCTCTACACATACATATGGTACAATTATCAAATATTGAATATATTACAATATTAAAAATTAATGATAGTTTTTTATTATCTCATCTGGGACTGTCTCCAGCAAAAACAACCTCCGAGATCTTTTGACCCAAACTTGAATTTTTTGCATGATACTATACAATGACATGTAGATTATGATTGGTGAAAATATTAGGCCCTGTTTGCTTAATAAAAATTTGAGGAATTGTAGGCCGGTACTGTGGCTGAATATACGGCACCTTCCTAATTTGGAAGTGGAGCCTATGATCTGCGTAAACCCTTGCTAATTCAGGTTCTATAAAATCATGCAGATCATAGGTGCCGCTTCCAAATTAGGAAGGTCCTGTATATTTAGCCACAGGACCGTCCTCAATAATTACCAAACATGCAAATGCCCATCTCGAAAAATTATATATAAATTCCATTTTTGGTTAATAATAATTAATAATCTAATTTATACGCATTACAGGAATATGGAGTTAAGCAATAAAATAAAATAAAGTTCTTTATTCACTGAATTGGGTCTAAAGAGATGATTAAATCAATCAAAATACCAAGTGTTTTTATCCTCTTCCACATCTATAGCAACACCAAAAACCAGATATAATTTCTTGTTTAAATTGCCTAACCAAAAATTCAGGAACTTCTAATGATGATATATTTACAGATGGACTATTATATTCTTTATGGTTTTGAGCTTCATATCTATGTAACCATTAATGTTTTTATACTCATAATCATGTTGACACAGGTTGCATTTATAAACTTGATTCTAATTTAAAAATAAAAAGCAAAAACTATTAGATTAAAGAAAGACTAGAAAGGATTAAACAGTTTCAATACTTACTTGGACTTGGATTTGGTTCATTTTTATAATTATATATATATATACACTCAATGGACAAAAGTTTGTACCCAGAAATTATTTTGAGATTTTCTCAAAATTATATTAAATAAATATTTGTGTTCTTTACATCATTTCAAAGTTCTAGTTCTTGAAAAAGTTTTTTATTAATAACAAATTTTTATCTTGTGAAATTTTTATTATGATCAATTTTAACAGATAAAATTTTATATCCAATTTAGAAAAAATATTATTTCTTACTATCTTAATATCTAGTTGACCAACCATTGTTGGAAATACATTCTTCTATACTTCTAGGCATACTATCAATCAAATTCAAATATTTTTCACAAGGAATTTGTTCCCATTCTTGTCTCAAGAAAATTTCCAACTCTCCCAAATTTTTTGGATGTTCAAGACGATTTTTTAATCTTCGGCCAAGTTCATTCCACAAGTGCTCAATGGGATTAAGGTCTGGTAACTGAGAAGGCCAATTTACAAGAAGGATGTGCTCCTTCTCAGACATCCCTGTTAATTCACAATTTGTTCCCATTTTTAAAAAACGAAAAAAAAAATGGTCATCAATTTCATGATTCCATAATTTTAATAAAAATTTCACAAAATAAAATTTGTATCAATAAAAATTTTTTAAGAACCAATGCTTTCAAATGATATAAAAATCGCAATTATTTATTGGATATAATTTTTAGAAAAGTGCGTTATCATATTTATCATTTTTATTAATAAATTTCATTATAGTAAAAAAATTTTTGTCTATCATCTCAACGGCTTTCATACATTCGTTGTAATAAGGTTAGGGTTGAGATTTTTGGGTGTAACATATCTATATAGTCTTCGGGTCCTATTACTATTTTATTTATTTATTTTAGACAAGTGTCCAAGACGAAGGAGTCAGGCATTCATTGACAAACATACTAGAAGTATTATTATTGGTATGATTGGTTCTGAAAGAGAAGTTATTTGTTAATAACCAAAAGTAATTTTTTTTTTGTATTGATACCTTTTTTCTTTTTTATAAATATCTCATTATAATGTAATCAAACATGGAGCAAGATTGCCTAAAAAATGATTTGCTGTATTTGCTTTGCGTAATCATTATCAATAATAAACAATTACAAGAAAGTGTCAAAGGTAACACGACTATCGAAAATGGCACCTAGGAAACTTGAAAACACTAATGATGAAACCATTCAATATGTAACATTGGATTATCGGAAATTTACAAATGTTGAAGTACATTACTTCAAATGTTTAAAAATTACAGTCATTCTCACATTCATCATGTACATGAGGTTACACTGACCTGGTTCCCTGATGATAAACTGGATTTTCGGGGTGAATGCATGGGCCTGAAGTTTATCGAAACTGCATCATTGTCAAGGACACTTGCGTGAATTCTAATATTCCCTCGCAGACCTGGATACGAGTATGTTAGCCAAAAATTTCCCAGCAATAATTCTATTTTTAGGGTAAAGATGGCTCTGCGACTAAGAATCTGAAATCAAGCCCAGGAGGTTGCAATTCAGGGTGAAGTCTGGTCCGAGAGAAAGTTAACGAAGCCTTTCGCTTGTTCAAAACTTTCCAACTTGTCCAGACCCTTTTACCCGTGGAAAAAATCCCATGGTGCTTAATCGCGCAGTATATGCATGTTTGTGGTAGAAAAATTTTTTTTAAAATAATAATATTATTGTGCATGAATTGTAGAGATTGACACCGCCTAAAAATTCTTTAATATTAACCGGTTAAACGGTTAATGGTACCAATCTCTAATACCAATAAAAAGATCTCATTAAGATACACTCAAGGGTTTTTCATATATAACAACAAGCATTAAATTACAGGGATTAAAATTTATGCAATAGATATCCCTATTTGATTGTAAAAAATGTTGAACGCAATAAACAGTGAAATAAATACACTTCTCGATGGTTTCCACGTTAACTTGCCAAGTAAATTCACTCAAAGTTTTGAAATAGACTTTTGATTTTCTGTCTTGGTAACTGAATTACCGTGGCAAGTTCTACTTTGGATTAATTTTTCCCTCGTTTAGTTACCTTTGTGATACAGAAATCATAGGGGTTAACTGTTCTTTTTATACTTTGCATTTTAACATTTGAAAAACAATTATCAGAAAAAAAATATATTTGAAAATAAAATATGAGAAAAATATTTATATTATTATCAATCTATTATTATTATTATTTATAAATTATTTTTTTAAAAAGTGTAATTTTTTAGGGTTTCTACCAATTTTTTTTTGAGGTTGTGGTTTTTACCTATATAAACTCTAGCTATATAATCGGAGACAAAACGTTGAGGAGAATTCCTTGCTATTTTTAATACTAAGTCCGGATAGGATTCTGAAAATTTTATAAAACATTTAAGGTTTTTATAACGACTACCTGAAATGCTCCTATTAATTTCTTCAAATAATATTATCCTTGCATTCTCAACCTCTTCATCTGTGGTATTTTCTCCCAACATTTTTTTTATCTCGCTGTCGCTTAGAAAATCTTTAACTCCTCTTCGAAACAACATTCTTTTCCATTTACCTTCAATTGCTAGCCTTCTTAACCTCTCCAAGTCTTTCTGAGGTAATTTGGACCTAACCAATTTATCATCATTACTGGTAATAATTGGTGTGAGACTGATCGCCAACTCGATCAGCCTCTCTTTTTTCTCTTTTGGAAGTGTCAACTTTTTACCCTCATAAAAGTTTCCATTAAAAATCCATTTTGAGAGCAATTCACTAGCTTCGCTATTGCCCAGTTTTTGTGTAGCAGTTGAATATCTTTTGTGATAATATTTGCTTGAATGATGGTTTAGAAAACTTGTCCGACTAATATTGTGGGTATCTTCCTTATAATTTAATATAGTTTCTCTTCTGTTTTTTATTACTTCAATTATCACACCTTTAACCATTGATTCAAGTTCACCAAGTGATGGAGCAAGTCGACACATGTATTCAGAAGCTTTTATTATTCTATTTTTATTAATGACGTTCAAACCAATGTTAGCTATTTGTGATAAAATTTTACCGACAGTGGGAATAAACGAAATTAGACAGAGTCCAACTTCTGCAAAAATAAAAATTTCGCTTTTATTTAGTTTTACACCGTCATGTAAAACTGTTTGAGCAAAATTATAGGCTCTGGTAAAGGTATGCATAAAACCGTCGTAATACCCATATAGTTCTATATTTCCTTCGATCTCTGACATTGAAAGAGAATTGTCCATAGTAGCCTGTTTTTCCTTTTCGCTATTTAATTCGGATTCACCTTTAGAATTATTAATGGGGAGTCCGGGAAGTTTATATTTATGGCCGTTGACTGCGCCAAGACATGGAGATTCTGTTTCAATATTTGTTGGATTTGTTTTATTATCTTTTTTATTATTTTTTGTTTCTAGTGGGTGTAGTTCACCTATTTGACCCTCTGAATTCTTCCCAACCACATTTTCTGAATGATCAGGACAACTATTGTTTTGTTTTACTTTGGTAAAAATTTTACCAAATTTATTTGCATTATCTAAAGGCTTTGGTGTTCGCTTGTTCTCGCCTAATATTTCCTTTTTAGCGGAATTTAATTTTGCATTATCTCCTCCACATTTTATAGCTTCTTCTATCGAGCTCAATGCTTCTTCACATTCACCTGCGTATTTTTGAGAAAGAGCTTTTTGACGATAAAGTTCAGACAGGTGATTATTTTCATAGTCTTGTTCTTTGCCCAATTCTATTGCCTTATCAAAAAAATCTATAGCATCTTTGAATTCTTTTGCTGCTTTTAACTCTTTCCCTCCCATTTCGTAATACTTTGCTGCACTTTCAAAGTCCGCTAAAGAACTATCAAAACCTGACTTATCTGGTTCATGCAAGAGGGAACATAAACTTTTATAAGTATTTATCTTATCAGTAGTTGTTTCTAAGCTGGATATATATTTATGTTTTGCTGATAGAAAATCAATTTTAGTTTTGACTTTGTTGTGATGATAGTTTTCTGTTACCTCGGAAAAATTTTGAGTTTGGTGCCTTGCGTTACTTCTTTTGGACTCCATATTATTTTATTTGTGTCGAATAATAATATTGGATCTTAGAGTTTAAGAAAGTTGTCAATTGAACAAAAATTTATCTAAAATTTTCTACAATAAATTTTTCCAGTGAATGAAAATTTTTTGATGATTAAGATTATGAAAAAATTGATCGTCAGGAGACGAATGCGTGTATGAAAGGTTATTTTACAATAGGCAAATGAAAATTCTATTCATTTATCTTATAATGGGTTTATCATAGGACTTTGCAAATGATGGATGTACTAGCTATTCAAGTATGTCAAAATAAATCATAACCAATTAATATTAATGATTGAAATGATCGACTTCGTTTTATTCAAAATTGATCATTATTTTTTAAAAATTATAGATGATTTAAAAGAAAACTGATCAAGAATTAAAACCAATACAATTTCATATGTTGATTATCACGCAATTGCCGCAATAAGTTGGTTTCATTTGATCGATACCCCTCTATCTAGAGATGTTCCATGCGCATGATTTTTTTTCAAATCATGCAATGTCACATACAGAAAATGCGGAAATTAAATTTTACCCAATTAAAATTAAATGCGCAT